GGTGGGCATCGAGCAGCTGATTCTTAGTGCGGCTGTCGCAAAAATACCCCAGAAGCAGATGCCATCCAGAGGAGACATGTGGGTGTTGATGCAAGTGATTTTCGCGGACTTTCTAACTACACACCCAAGCTCCTTGTAGTAGATAAATGCTCATGTTAAGCACCCCCGACGTCAGCGTTTCCGATCACTGCCTGGTCATGACACAGCGACAAGACAGGCGAAACCTCGCCTTTCCCCTTGTGTAAGTACGTTGAGATTGCTCCGATAATGCACGATTTGTGTTTTGTTTTTGAGACGATTGCTATCGCGTAGACAACAGTGCCCAACGGCATGAGGTCGTCACCATCAACACTATTCCGAGCATCGGCCAATATCATAACCACCACCCCCCCCGTCAACACCGCTATCTATACCTGCATGGGGAATTGTCTTCGTTCTTGGCTCCACCAACACGATATGCATGGCTTGACATGGCGTAATCAATACTCTTCGTGCGTTTCGTGACGTATGTATGTTTAGCGCTATCGAGGCTCTGAAAAAGGAGGAGGAAGACGAGGAGAGGAGGTGGCGCACGCAGAGGCGGGCACACCCGACGTCGCCGGACGCTCTCTGCGCTCCCGACGTGTCTCTCGTGCACCTCATGGTGAGTTGCTGCTGCTTCTACAGTTGTAGTTGCTGTTTTTGTTGTTGTCGTAACCCCTCGCCTAAGCATTCATTCTGTTCTGACAGCTGTCCGAAATGTCTTGTGTTCGATGCCATGTTCATCGCCAGAGGTACGATCTTCCGTGAGTTTGCTAACAAGCAAAGTTGAAAGGACTCAGAGAAAGTCCTAGCAATCGCAACAGAAGCATCTAAATCAGACCGACGAGAGTAAACAACGAACACGGTGGGTGCGGGCCCGAATCCAGACGAACGTGGCTCGGAGGTGGTTCACTGCTGTCACGCATCATCCCAGTCCCCGCAAGTGGATAATTGCGCTTGTACACCGTCTTCACGGCTTGCTTGGTGGCTTAACCCGTGCGGGCGAGACGTTGCGGCTTTTGCCGCCGGTCCTTCCGACCGCGTAGTTGTGTGTGTGTGTGTATTTTTTATTTGCTCCCACCGCGCGAGTTGTCTGACCAATGAAAAAGAAGATAAATGTGTGGGTGTATTCTTCACAATCCTCTTTTTTTATCCTGTGTTGTCGTTGTTTCCAGGTCCTGTGGGGACTAGATGGGAGCGGAGATGCCCCTGCTCGCGTGGGGCAGCACCATGTCCGCAGTCTGGTCATTCGTCCGGAGAGAGTCGACAGGCAGTGCCCGCTGGTGCGTGCGCTGTAGGGGAAAGACGTGTTCGCGTCTCTCAGTCCTTCCTACGCTCAATTCCTACCAATGAGACGCTGAGCGTTCGCAGTTTTTGCTGCGTACAACCAGAAGAAATAAAACTGCGCGTGCTAGACGACGCGCGACAGTGGACCATTCGTTTGTGGTTGGTGCGTTCGTTAGCGGGATTTGATTATTCGCGACACAACCGCTACCGTTCTGAACCTCGACTTTAATCCATCAGGCTTTGCCTGCCGTACTGCAGCCGGACCTGTCTATCGTATACCTGGTACTCCGTGTACGGTATCACCCGTCTTTCTAACGTAGTAATATGGGTCTTCGGTGGATCCTTTGGGTGCTTGCCCGCTCTTGCCTCTCATTGCAACCTCTGTGTTCGTGCTTGTCCGTTGAGCACACGCACGCTCATGGTCCAGCTCTCTCCTTGTTGTTGCTTGGTCGTTGGTTTTGTTTCCTTCCTTTCCTCCACCTTCCACTTGTATTCGCGGGGTACCTTTCGACTTCCTAACCCCATCAGCAAGCGCATTGGTTCCTGTTGAAAGTGGACCTGGCGCGTGCTGCCTTTCGCCTTTTGTTGCATCGCCGATCAATTCATCATTTTTTTTCCTGTCCCGTAGGTGCTTACGGTCAAGTACCCTTCGGAAGTGACCTGGGACGGGGGTAGCCACGTTGGCGCCGGGGAGGAGGGTCCCCGCGGATGTGACGCGGAGGTGACGGTGTGCGCGACCAACCGGCTAGCGGGGCCCCGGGAGAACGCCAAGGTCAACTTCACCTTCGAGGTTAGTTGGGGCGTTGGTTCTCTCAAGGCCGGCAAGCGATAGGAGAGCGGGGATGTACCGACTAGGATTGATAGCAACGCCTTGCGTTGGCCTCTCTTGTGGTTGCCACGCCATGTTTGTTCTTCTTTTTCGGTCGATGAGGAGCTGTCACGTGCAGTTCCTTCCATGATTTGGTAGCGGAATTGTACGTGGTGCTCGTTGCTACTGTAGCGTGCTTGGTGGGATGTTCCTCCCCCAGGGGTGCATTCTTAGTGTGTTGTTTTTTACGCGTACGAGTCATGCATTCTCCCATACTCGTATTCTGTCGTCCGCTTTGCTGTCGACATCACAAAGCATCCACCTGCCCACCCACCCACACCTCGTTTGTGCCGCAGTTTCCCGTATGTAGCCCCCCCCCAGAAGTTCAAACACACACCTTCCCGTCCGCTCGATCTTAACCCCGACATATTTCACCTCATCTAATGATAATGACGTCCTGGTACCCCCCGCGTGTTCCGTGTGGTAGGTGCGCGCAGACGACGGACCTAGGCGACTATCGACTGTTCCCGGTGCACCGCCCCCCCCGGCGTCTGGGGGTGGAGGGCAGTTGTCCAGCAACAAGAGGCCACCACGCAACCGTTTCGTGTGGCTAGGGCCGACGAGGCGGAGGGTTGTCGGTCTCGGACCTGGGGAGGCGACGACGATCCCGCTCAAGGTAACCAACCAGTCCACGAAACCGCGAGTTGAGCAGCCGCAGTTCGTTTGGAGCGGTGTTGTGGACAGAATTCGGGCTGGTACTGCTGTGCTCTGCAAACGCGGTGCAAGTTCGCGTTCGATACGAATACATGCCAACCCACAATGCCCCACCCACCCACCAACACGGAGACTTTTGACATGTGCACCCGATCCGATTTTTCTCTCCCCTTTTTGTTTCTGATAGGTCCGGTTTCTTCGACCAGGAGTTTTCGACCTCAACCGCTTCCGCTTTGTGGTAGAGTTCGCGCCGGCCGCCGCCGCGTCCGCCAAAGGCAAGCCTGCCACTGCGTTGCCACCATCGATCCCGAACACACAGCAGCAGCGAAGAGACTCGTCTTCGTCTCAGCAGGGCAGGGTGACGTTCGTGTTCCCAGCTCAGTACCTTGTTACCGTTGCGCCATCGCCGCCGCTGCCGCGACCGTCATCGGCGGTCAAGACTAACAAGGCGTTGATGGGGGCGGGAGGCGGCATGTCCCCTGCCTCGCCAGCTCTGGAGGAAATCCTCGTTGCATGATAGACGGGATTTTCTTGCTTACGCATGTTTCCCGAGATTCCTTGTGGCGATCGAAGCTAGAGAACTCCGGCGTTCAAAGGCGCCCTTGCTTGCCAAATAGTTTTTGTATTCGACGATTTTTTTTCTTGTTGCCCTATCGACCCTGCGCTTTCACTGTCCGGTCACGTGTGTTCTTGACGGTTTGTTTTCTGGGGCACGTGAGAGAATTTCGTTGCAATTTTTTCTTGGATTTTGTTTTTTGATATTACACAAATTCGGACTGGGGCTCCAAATTTTTCCATGTAAGGAAGCAGATTCAGAATTAAGAAAGTTTCCTGGAAACTTCCTGCAGGCAAATATTTGTAGATTTAAGCGGCTTCATATGATTGGCTGAGGGGCAACAGTTCTCCTCTTCACAACAAACTTCCCCTGATCGCAGGTGTTGCTGCTTTTCTGTGGTGCGCTGCGTGACAGCTGCACCCTGCTGACACCGCTCTCTCTCACTGCTGCTCTGTCTGCTGTTGAGTGTGCGTGCATGCATTGCGTGTGCGTGTGTGTCTTCTGTGCCGCCCCCCTCAACCCAACCACACGAAATCGCACCAGGACGTAGCCAGGGAGGGAGTGGTTGTACTGGCCGGCAGCCTCTGCACGAGTTGCAGTGTCGCATTTCAAGCGTTCGGGAGAGAAGAGGTTGTTATTGCGACGTGGGCACATCACGTCAAACTCTCTCTCCATGCTAGCAGAGAACCAGCAGAGAATAATATTGCGCGGGGAGGACGCGCCCGTCTACACCAGGAGACCAAGTGCGTGCTCTTCCTCCTGTCTGTGTGCCCCTCTTTGCTGGCGGTGCTACCACCACATCTACGTCATCGGTTGTCGCTGTCTCCACGGTTCCGGCGCTCGCTCTCCTCTTCCCCTTTGCCTCAACCTGTGTGTGACCGGCGGGTGTTGCTGATCTAAGGCCGCGCAAACAAGCCTAACTTGGCTTTCCGACCGTGCAGCCTCCCTCTTGTTGGTGCCGCGCCAACTCCAGGGCCTTTTCGCTGGGCGCTGACCTTCTCTTTGGCCGCGCGGACTGCTGTGCGTGCGTGGGTGTGGTGCCTGATGTATTAAATTGAAGTATGCCGCTAAATCGGAAATCGTCAACAGTTTTCCACAAACGGCACCAGTGCTGTGAGCGCTGATTAGAAGTGAAGACAAAAAAAAAAAAAAATGCGCTGAATTGGCCTGCGTCCTTCCATTTAGGAATTTTTCGTAAATAAATGTTCAGCGGCCTTGAGGTACGAGCGAGCTCGGAGACACATGCACGACCTGATCCTCCAGACACGAACACAGCGTATCGCTTGAGATGACGACCAAGTACGCAGAGCGACCGGCGGCGTCTCCACCTTGAAAAGATATATATATAGTCTATCGCTTAAACACAGGGGCGAGCATGCGCAAAAAGGGCGTTTTTGTCTTTCCTCGAGAGATGCCCTCCTGAGGTAATCCCATCTCTTGTCCCACTTTTCTCACCTGTGGCTAGATAGACTACAGGATGCACATCACCCCGTTTTTTCAATGCTCATGTAGGCATCACAACTCGGGCATTTTTTGCTGCACTTCATACACAAGTATCCTGTTTTGGTGTCTGGTGCCTGCACCGTCACGGCATCGACCCCCAGCACGCCACAGTCACCACTGCATGGCCGCGTTGTCCTGTATATTTCCTTTTGGCGGGCAAATTCCACCAACTGCTCTGCCTCACGAACCCGTCGGTGACACATTGGCGTGCACTCATCTAGCTCATACCGCAAGAGGGAGGGGATTTCCACTGTGTTTTGCGTTGTAAATAGTTCGGTTTGCTGGGAAAGGTTCTCTCCGGCGGCGATCTCCCATACACTGTTCGCGCCAACGCACGCCGTACGTCGTTCGAGCGCGTCTCCCGTCGTGACATGAGCGACACTGATCTCCACGATAGGAACAAAGCTGTGATTTTGGAAGATGGCTACGTCCGCCGAGTAGTTTATATTGTTGTGGTAGCGATACTCTTGCTTCGCGTCACAGTCGGTGTACTGCCGTCTGATTTCGTGCGCGCTCGTGATACATCGATCGGACCAGCCGCGAACAATACTTTTCAACCAGCAACTTTGCCGCCTTATTATGCTGAGCCGATTCACCCCAGCCGGAACACCCGAGCGAATGCTGGCAGTGCGCGAAGTGGTAGACGTTGACTTTGCCCTGCAGCAGCACCAAGCCGCCGCCGCACCCCAAGCACGTGAAGGGGCCCTCGGCCTTGGAGCAGGAAGACACAACGAGCTTGCCTGATTCGGTTTGGACGATGGGGATGTGGCGGAGCACTGTTTTGATAATGGTCCGCTTGCGGAAAAATTCACAATATTTCCCCCTGCACAAAAGTGCACTTTTCTCGGGGTGGGGGTACTTATTCCGAAATCTGAAAATACCGCGTAAATCGACGTTTCAAGGCGCATCTTCGTACGGAGATTTTTTTTTTTTGTTCTTCGCTCGATATGTTCAGATATTCAAGAAATCTTGCTTACTTTGTGGAGGGCGGTGTTTTTTGCAGACACAAAATCTGAGACCGGATTTGGACAGCTCTCGTGATTTGCCACCGACGATTTTTTTCCGATTTCCAATTTGACAAAAAATAACGGAGTTATGGGCAAAATACCGGATATTGGAGGGTATTTTGCTTAGTTTCTTGGGGACAATCCAACCGTACGATTCAAAAATAAAGTGCTGCAATCGATTCTTCTCGTGATTTCCCACCGATGATTTTTTTCCGATTTAAAAAAAAAACTCGGGTTTCGGAGATATTTCGGGTGGTTTCACACGCCCTCGGGGAATTTTTTCCCGCCACACACACACCAGAGGACACACACACACACACCCTTTACGCACGCAACGAAAGACGCACACGCGCTCCGGGCACATGGGGCGCCCAAAGGGTAAGCGCAAGCTGCCAAGGAACGCCGACGGCACGATTCGGAAGGCCCCTTCGCCCCCTGCGATAGGGAAGGAGGCCTGGGGCATGATGCAGGAAGACATGAACGTGGTCGAAGATAAGGAGAACCCGGTTGAGGTCGCGCGGTCGGCTCCCAAGGACGGGGAGGCGCCGACGCATCGGGTGTTTCCCGGACGCTACGAGCGTTCCGGGATCTACTTCGGCAGGAAAGAGGGCGAGGGGAAGGACGGCCTTGCCGTGAAGCTCGTGCAGGATGCCGTCGAGCTGCTGAAAGGGATTCCCGGCGCCTGCCAGGTGAAGAAAACGAAGAACGACCCTTCCACGGCGGCGGTCATCATGACTGTAGGGCAACACCAAGACGGGTACTGGAACTGCGCACGGATGTTGGAGCAAATTCCGGGGCTCATCGCCATCCACGAGCTGACAAGCGAGCCACACCGGCAGCTGGTCATGGTCTTCGACAACTCTACCGGGCACTCGGCGTTCGGCGCCGGCGCATTGGTGGATGAGCACGTTGCCCTGAGGCCAGGGGGAGCGCAGGGCGCTCTTCGCAATTTCGAGGACGACGAGGGGAACCCCGTGCACACCACCTTCAGGGTCGGCGACAAGCTCCGTTTTACCACGAACGTGTTTGCCCCGAAAACGGAGGAGGAGCTCGAGGCGGAAAAGAAAGCGGCAGAGGAGGCGGAGGAGAAGGGGTTGCCGGTGAAGAAATCCAAGAAGAACGGCAAGAACCTCGGGAAGTTCAAGAAGGGCGACGAGGTCAAGGCGACTGGCCCCACCGCCGTTCTCATCGGCCTGCCGAAAGGAGGAAAGCAGCTGCTCATGGAGATGGGGCTGTGGGAAGGCGAGCCAACCCTACGCGTTCACGAGTGCAGCGCGTGCAGGGCGGAAAAGGCGGCAACAAGGCAAGCCATTACCGCCTTCAACCGCGGTGGAGAGGGGCGGCAGCAGGTGGTGGACAACACGGGGCAGGGAGAGGAGGACGGCGGAGAGGACGGGGACTCGGGTGGGAGCGGGGCAGCTGGTGAAGCAGGCAAGAGGCGTCGCTGCTGCGTCGTGCGCGTTCTGTCTGAGCTCAAGGCGTTCAGGGAGGAGCTCAACATGGTTGAGAAGCTCTTCAAGGCACACGGGCACCTGTGCATCTTCTTGCCGAAGTACCACCCAGAGCTCAACGCAATCGAGCGATACTGGGGGTACATCAAGCACCTCCTCCGCCTCCACTGCGAGTATTCCCTTCGCCACATGCTCCAGGTCTTTCCCTGCGCGTTGAGCGGCGTACCCGCACGGTTTATCCGCGCATGGAGCAGGGTGACGTGGCTGTACATCGAAGCCTACGACGAGGGCCTGGAGGACTACCTCGAGTACCGCGATCTCAAGGAGTGGGGGAAGCACCGAGAAGCCACCGCCAGGGGAGATGCCGTGATTCAGGCGAGGGGGGCGGGGAAGACGCCGGAGCAGAAGAAGGCAGCCGAGGCGAAGGCGCTTGCGGCTGCGCAGGAAGTGCGCAAGAAGTCGATGGCAGCGACCAGGGAAGCCTTCAACACGTGGACGAGCAAGAGAGCCTCTCGGAAGGAGCAGCTACGGCTGTGGATTTTGCGCAACACGATGAATTTTTTGAGGAAATGGTTGGGCGGGCATGCTCAGGCGTGAGTGGGGAGGGTACGTATCTATATGTCGCGGTGTGTTGTAGTTTTGGTTTCTCGCGTTTAGGCGCGGTAGAGGCGTTCGTCATGGTCACCAACTCAACGCTATAGCTGTCTCTCTTGGTATCGGACTTGCTTAGAGAGAACGGATGTGATTCCTGCATGCTTTGTTTGCAGCACCTTCATCAGCCAGGGGTTGAGTAGAAAGTA